CGGAGATCTTCCCGTCGTTGAGAGAATACTACAAGTGCGGTGAGCCAGCCGAGTTTCCGATTGAGGAGGAGATGGAGAAGCACGCATTGGAGGAGATCCATGAGATCCATCCGACGCAGAAACGCTCGTCTGCTCGACTTCGCCCCATGCGTGGCGTCTCGCACATGGTTGTTATCGAGGACGATCTGTATGATGAGATCACAAGCAAAGAGAGGGGGTGTGGCAGTCCAGGCCGTCCTGACGATGGAGTTGGTGTAAACGGCGCTAGCGAGGCAGACTCAAATACAGGCAGCTCCCCCAAGGACGACGACGCACCGAGCACACCAACACACGACAAGACTACTCCGCTCCCAGAGCTGCGAGTCCCATCACCAGCTGTTCTCCGTCCGCGCTCTCACACCGTCGGCCCTCAAGAGCTTCGCATCTCAGGGGAGTCCGCTCTTTCCGTCAGAAGGTCTCTGAGGTCGTTTGTTTCTACGCCCACAGTAACCGAGACGCGCCCCTGGAATTCAGACAAGAATTATCCCTGGGCGACGTCAACAAACCCCGCTATTGACATCTCCCTTCCTCGTCCAGCTGCTGCGAGACACTCTCCTCACCCAGGCCCTTCCCACCTCCGCGACAGACTCTCTGACGCGTCTACCACAAGCTCCTTCTCGACAGCGCAGACAGCCACAGCTTCCCCGTTCGGATCACCGGCCGATAGCACCGCACACGCGCGTCATCACCGCTTCAGCACCTTTGGCCGCAACAGCGACCAGCCACACGCAGTCGGTGAACGCTACCCCACCTCTGCCCTGTCACCTCCTACAGCTATCTTCCGCGACCACCTGTCAGCCTCTGACACTTCTGACGACGAGCACTACGACACCACACGCAAGACTAGGCTCTCGCTCCGCAAGCGCTTTTCGTCAACTCGCAAAGCTACGCTTGACAGCCAATCAAACACTCGAGCTGGTCGAAGCAAGACTAACGCACAAGACCTCGCCTCGCCCGAGTCGACCAAGCAGTCAACCACCTCACTCCTCCAAGATCGTGCCGGTGAAGCTCAAGCTTTCACGTCATCTACCACCGCCAACCGCCATACCTTCCGTGACGCGGAGGGCATGAGAGCAGTTGACTACCGCAAACACCGCATCATCGACCGCCTCAAGACCTGGTGGCACAAGGGCTCGCACCTGATCCGTCAACTTTCAAACCGAAAACACTAAACTAGCACAAGTCTCTCGACTGTCTAGCCATCATGTCTGACACCCCTCCTCAACCCCTCTTCGCCCTCGGACCGAACAACACTATCCGCTACATCGAGCGTCGCGTGTTCCCGAGGGTTCCTCCAGCAAACCCCCCTACCTCACCCCCTGCCCCAACCAACACGCCTGTCAACAGCAACGGCAATGGCAACATCAATGGCAACATCAACATCAACGGCAACGGCAACGGCACCGGTTAAGAGAATTTGGTAGTTCTTCATGGTTTCTCTTCACTTTTCACTCTTTTCATGATGCATGTACTATAATATGGGAAGGATTCACGGAGATATGACAAGTGGTCATCAAAGTTCATAGCTAGCTAAGTAGCACACGATAGTAAAACTGGTTTGATAATTACTAGGTACTTATGATATGTGATGTTTGTGAGGTCTTGGTAGTCACCTGGACACCTCAACGTCTTGATGTTAGTATATGGTGATGACGCTGAAGTCTGCAAACCTGTTTTTAATCGTTGAGACTTACTGCTGCATAACGATGCGACATCTTCCTGGCTCTACTATGACACTTATGATATGCAGGTACGCAAGGTGATGTGGGCCTTAGGGTCTCTCATGCCACCGTGATAAGCCAACACTCAAGGCGTTGAAGTTTGACAGGCTACCATTTGAAATTTTTCCTGAACTTCGAGAGTGCGCTGTGGTCTGCAAGGTGAAGTTGCCGTAAGAAGATGAGGACAGACGTGCGCAGCGGGATGACGACAGGTCCGTGGATAATGAGGACTTATGTGCCACCCACCGTCATGTCATAGTCCTTCAACGCATCATTACGGGCATAAGAGTCATCAGAAAAGAGTATAAAAGAAGTCGTTTCGCTGTTCTCTTCAGCTTCTTCCTTTACCACACTCGGAAAGACAAAAGCGATAAGTCAATCTCTTCCCAATCCCTTACCAAAGCCCACTACTACCAAATCAACTTCCAACCAACATCACAGCTATGAATGAACGTCTCAAAGCACAATGCGTCGAAATAATGGCAGATAACAACTTCAACGGCTTCTTTCCGATTGGCGATTCGTCGGAAGTATGGACCCCTAAGAGCCCAAATAATATACTGCAGCTTGCCACTCCACACTCAGACAACAAACGCAACGTGTGTCTCATGGCGGCTCACTATCCCCACCCAGACGACCCAGACAAAGAAGGCCGCACCGGGATATGGTATGATCTGCGCGCCCATAACAACCTCGATGCGCTGAGGACATTGGCCAGCAACAAGGGTGTCTTTCAGGGAGTCGAGGACTGTGTGCACGACAACGGTGCAAGAGTGGTTATGTGGTTCGCAATACGCAAGTATCCCCCTAGCACTTCCTGCAGTTTTGAACTCGCGTTTCTGACTTTGCGACAATAGTGACAAGTGGCAAAGCTGATGTCACCAACGAGGATACGATGATTCCTCTATCGGTTATCTGGGCGTGGGATAAGGCTGATAAGAAGTATGAGCCTTCGTCCCTGGTACAATCAGGTTAGGGTCTTGTTGCGAGACGAGCATGTCACTGACGAGGTTGTTGGTCAGGAATGCTCTTGGGACTTTGAGACAGCGGTTGGAGACACACTCTTTTGTAGATAGTACACTTAAAATGCATTCAGAGATATACAGGAAAGAAGTCTTGAGTACCTTCCTGGAAAGATGTGATACCCGGGTACATGAACGCCTTCTGGAAGATTCATCACCTCGTTTAGTCATTCACGATGACTGATTCATGATCGCTGAACACTGAACACTGGCATCGGATCGTTTGGCAGAGCGAGAAGCTGCTGTCCGGAAGATGGCAGGTGCATGTGGGCCGGTGACACATGCAGGTGCGACACGAATACACCTGGAAAAAGCGTTATCACGGCTGGCGCTTCCCTGGAATGGGGGAGAACTGCACAGACTACAGGAACTGAGAAGAGTGTTTGTCTACCTAGTCATGAGTCCATCTCACGCTGTGCTGCTATCGTGAACTTATAGACAACTATATATCTCGCACTTGTTGTGTCCCACTTCTTATGTGTCTACTCAAGTTCAAAATGTCCGTGACCGACCATAACCTAAAAGAATCGTGTCAAAGTCTTATGCGCGACTGGGACATATGGTTTTACGAAAGTTGCGATCCAGCTTTTGTAGAAGCCAGGCCCACCTATCTCGCATCCTCGGAAGATCGTAAAGTCGCCTTGCTGGCCATGTATAAGCCAGACGCCTTTCCTCAAGGCGACGGAGTACATGTAAACATGAGAAGTCCGAAGCTGAAGGACGCTTTGGATGACCTGGCAAGAGAGCATGGTTTAGTAGGTTGTTTAAGACATCCACGGCACCAAATCGCGTTTTGGTTTTGCAGATGTGAGTTCAATATGTGCAATTTGAGCGCGAATGACCCAAGCAGAGCTCTAATCTTTTGTTATCCATAGTGGCAGACTTTGAAGCGGGCGATAGGATGGGATGGGACGACTTACCACTCGGCGTTATTCTTCTTGATGGTCTAATTCTACTCGGCCCTCCTGAGAGTGCTGGCTTGTGAAAGGCACAGATGAAGGTTGGGATATTGTGGTTGAGCTAGAGAGTGGCGTGTACACGTTTTATACGTAAATGTTTTGTGGAACATGCAGACGATAAGACTCCCGTCCGAGAAGACTGCAACTCTTGTCGGTGGGTTCTTGTCAGTTGGCACGTATTGATCGACCGTACGGGCGCCTTCTGGCTCTCTAGCTTATGCTTTCTTTGTTCCGTGGACTGCAAACAGTGACAGCTGTTGTTCATAGCCCAGGGTAGCCTCTCACGGTTGAAATCACATCCCAATGCAATGCGCAATCATGTCTGAATCATTTCATTTCGTGTATGTCCAGCTTCGAGAGCTGTTTCATAGCCACACGTCTGTTCAGACCGTTGACACTCCTTTATAATCCTTGTGCGGACCAAGCCCTTATGCGGCGATGGTAACCTCAACCTCGACACCGGCCTCGATGTTGATGATGATCTGCTTGACAACCTCGGTGGGAGCGTGGAGGTCGATGAGGCCTAAGTCCGCAGTTAGCTGCAGTCCAGCCGACTGTCTGGGGTGGTATGCACTTACGCTTGTGGATGCGCATCTCGTAGGTGTCCCAGGTCTTGGAACCCTCACCGCAAGGAGTCTTACGGGTGGTGATCTTCAAGTGCTTGGTGGGCAGACGGACGGGGCCCTTGACGCGGAGCTCCTTGTTCTTGGCACGGTCGATGAGCTCCTGGCAGACCTTCTCGAGGCTCTTGACGTTGCGGGAGGTGAGGGTGATGCGGATCTGGAAGCGCCGTCAGTACACAGCCTCATGCGCATAGGATACACAGCAACGTACCTTGTGGATCTTGGGGCCCTCGCCGAAGTCCTTCTCGCCCTTGTTGTAAGACATCTTGTCGGATTGGAGTGTGGTGTTGTTGTAGGTTCTGAGTTAGATTCCAGTCACGACCTGGATCCTTGATCGCGGTAATGTGATGACTGGGGTGGCGTTAGAATTTGCGACGGCGTTCGGAGTCGTTAAGTTCTTTGCGATGCGCATTTTCGATCTGTGGGCGATGCGCGCCAAGATTGCGGACGCTAGTGCCGTAACTGGTATCGCTCCCTTTTGATCGCTCGGCAGGCGGGCCCATGAGCCATCATGACTGCATGACTGCAGACAAACAACAGAAATTGAGTCTTTTAAAAACTTCTCGCGTTCCTTACACAGTGCATCGTACCTCTGAGCTCGGCCCTGGATCTCGTCTTACAATATCGCCAACAGAGATGTCGGTACCCCACTTCGCGCCATTCCCAGACGCAAAAGTCAGAAAGAGCATACTGCCCGACGAATGGCAGTTGTACCTGGATTCGTGGGCTTCGCTGTCTGAGCTCTACCTAAGATTAGAGGACCAAAAGTTCTCGGAGGCGACCAAAGAGGAGAGCTCTCTCACGCAATTTCTCCTGTCTTTCTTTCGTGAACTGGCCCTGGACGATGAGCTAGCATCTAAAGTTGCGTCATTACGGAAGAAGACTTTCTTTTTATTACACAGAATCCTTTCCAAAGAAGACATACCCAATCCCTTGCTCAGCTGGTCCACCCTATCTGACATCTGCCACGCGTATCCCAAGAGCGAGCAGTTCCGTACGCTCTTGCAAGGGTCATGGAAGCGAAAGGGTGCGGCAATCGAGAAGTCGTTGCAGACAGCGAAAACGTCCCTAATCCGGAACTTGGAATCAAAGCGACCGGAAGAGGCCGAAAAGACACTTGATCGGATCGCACCTCTTCTCAGAGCCTCGTCAGATGCCAGCATTTTCATGCTGACAGGATCCGACTTTCTCGACTCTCTCCTTTCCGCATACCCACAAGTTCCACAATCGATGCAGAAGAAGCTAGTCACGACTGCATACCTTGGTCTAACAGCCGCGCTCGAAGGTCCAAAACCGAATTATTCGCTGCTCTCTGATCATCTGTACAGCCTGAAGTCTAATGAGGAGCAAGATCAGAAGAAGGAGCCTGGTAAGAAGACGTTGGTTGCTGATCTTGTCACCAACACACCGCTACTGGAAAAGATAAGAGAAAAGGCTACTACTCCGGAAGCGTCTAGGGTGAAGAATACTGCAGCATCATTGAGCGCATTTCGGCAATCTAGTCTAGCTCGACCAAAAAGATTGATTCGACGAAAGGTAGACAAAGGCAAAGCAGCAGCGGATCAAGATAGCTATGACCACGGAGCATTCACCGGCGAGATACACGTTCATCGGATGAGTATGATTAGCCAGATCCAGGATCTCTTTCCAGACCTGGGTGCAGGCTTCATTGTCAAGTGCTTGGATGAGTACAACGACGACATCGAGCAGGTTACCGCACATCTTTTGGAAGATTCTTTACCGCCACACCTAATCGAGGCTGATCGGAGCGAGAAACTGTAAGCACTTCCACTTGAGCTTCTGCCATCATAGCTTCAATCAGACATGCTAACATATGTTAGACCTACACCAGCAACATCGTCACAGCCAATGCCACCACCTAGATCAAGCCAGCACCTTCCAGAACGCCGCAACGTCTTTGACGACGACGAATTCGACAGGCTTGCAGTTGACACATCGCGGTTCCACATTGGTCGCAGAGGTCAGGATTCGACCGCCGATAAGATCTTGTCCGACCGCAGCAAAGCACCCGCCAAATCAGCGATCATGGCAGCGCTGGCAGCCTTCGATTCAGATGACGACGAGCGGGATGACACATACGATGCAGAGGATGTTGGCGCCTCTGTCGACACTGCCGCGCACGGACCTGGCGAGGATGCCGACTTGGGTGATAAGAACGAAGAAGCCCTGTTCCGCGCTTACACCATGACACCTGAGCTGTTCAGTCGTGAGTCGGAGACAAGGCGGGGTAAAGCTCGAACAGCCCTCAAGAGCGAGACTGGTATGACCGACGAAGCGATCGAAGGCTGGGCCATCATGATGGGGCGCAATCCTCGCGCACTGCGGCGGCTCGAAGCGAAGTTTTCCAATTTCCAGGGTCAGCAGCGAGAGCTTCAATCAACAGCATGGCGGGACAGCCCTGCGGGATCTGGCGACGAAGCGAGCGGTGATGGGCAAGGAGGTCGCGGTGGAAGAGGCGGCGGCGGTGGTAGAGGAAGAGGTAGAGGGCGCGGACGTGGTGGCCCAGGTGGTGGAAGAGGTGGTGCCAGCGTCGCAGGTCCTGCTGACGACAAAGGTACGCAAATATCACGGCAGCGCAAGGAAGCCAACAAGGGTTCAAGTGCGAACCATAATCGGAAGGCTCAACGAGGAAAGAAGATGGCCCGAGCAGGTTTCCCAGCAAGCTGAGCGGACATCCTGTTCACTCCGATTAGGATGCAATACTCTATTCTTGTCGTCTTCACTGCATTTGCATTCAGGTCGCACGTCTACAAGTCTTAGATAAAGCTGTGGCTGTACTCTCAATGCAAAAAGCGCAGTAGCATCACCATAACCTAACGATATCGGGACCATCCAACCTATCGCCCAACCCCGCATCTTTACCCAAAAAGTCACCCAAGCCACGCAACCCTATCCCCTATCATTCCATCCCCTCTCACAAAAAAAAAGGCGCGTAGCTAATAAGCTCTCCGACGGGGAATCGACTGTTTGCATGATTAGGTCAAAGCTGAAGACACTCCTGAGTAGGTAGCACATACACCCCGGTCTCCCGCGCTTGTAAACACTTCGTGAACATTTGACAAGCGGAAATCATGACCACTAGACCATCGAAGATGTTGCTGTTACCGTCACATGACGTAAGCAGATGGATATGTGGGTTTGATGAGAGAAAGCTCAAATTATGCGTCTATATTTTCTGAAATCATGGTTTTGAGGGGGTTTTGGCTTGGGTAGCAAGTATCACGCGGCCAACACCAAGGGCCAGGATGCGGGGTAGGCTCGTGGTGCCATGTGGTGATGGCAGCCGGGCTTACCGGATATCAGTCAGCCAGCCAGTCCGGGGACGCAGGGTCGTGGATGGGACTGGCATGGCTGGGTTTTGCGGCTGGGAATTTTAGTTGGCTGATGTGGGAAACTTCAAAAACGCGTGCGCGACTGCGCGGCATGCTGGAATGCGACGCGACGACATACACACGTTCGGAAACCGTAGAAAGCATCGTAGAGCGCTCAAGCGTGTTCTCTTTTTTTTTGTAACGCGAGAGGCAAACATTTGCCCCTCTAGCCGCTTCTGTGCGTGCCAAAACGCTGATTCGCTTATGTCTTTGGGCGTAGTTTACGCCCAAGGGGCCTGCGCAGTACTCCCTGAAGGTGTCCTCATAACTCTTCACCCATGCATCGCATTACATCGCATCACACGTTGGACTCATCAAATTAATGGTACCACCATATATTCAGCGCATCTTTTGCGCGGTATCTTCATGAAGTCGTGATAACCGAGCACCTCTCCACTGTGAGCCCGGTACAAGACGTAGCACTACACCACTACTCAAAGTCGGCGCAAATACCCGTTGTTGTACTTCCACAACTGCTCCAAGCACACCGCAGCAGCAACGTACTTCCAGCTCCTCAACGTGCGGTAGTTCTCCCAGCCATCCGTCTCCAGCGCGACCATGAAGCACGCAATGGAGCGCGGCAACGCCTCCGAATCCGCATCGCCGTCCCAGTCTCCATCACCCATTACTATATTCTTGATCATGTCGCTGACATCGCGGTTGAAGCGTTCTTGAACCTCGAGGTTGGCTTCGCGGACGTAGCGGGAGGGTGCACGATCTTTCTTGCCAAGGATGTTACCACTAAACACCTCAAGCTCGGTAAGACGTGAGCCTCGAGACGGACGATGTGTGTCCATAATTTCGAACATGTTCTCTTCGTACGCTTCACGGAGTTGTTCTGCGAAATCCCAATGGTGTTCCCATTGTACTCCACGGGTCTCTCGGATCACATATCGCTTGAGCTTCTGTACCAGCGTTTCATCACCCCGGCGATGGTGAGATGTTCGGTAGGCGTTCTTCATCTTATCGAAGAACGTTTTTTCGTCGATCCGCCGATACAGAACTCCTAGGACCTTTGTGCTTGTGTAGTATGAACTCCTTGGTTTCTCAGCATTTAGCACACTCACTTCGTCGAGCTCGTCACCCTCAAGCTCCTCGAGTTCAGCAGCGCCCAAGTCGTTGACGATGAGGTTCGATCCTGGCGCCATGAAGTCAGGGCGGATGTGATCAGAACCTGGCGGTATCTGAGCCATTTTGGCAGGAATCCCAGATTTTCCAAAGTCGACGGCATCGGATGCGAGCTTGGCAAGAAGCAGGCACTCTGCATCTAGAGTGCCAAAAGGAGCCTTATCAGCGCGAATCTTGTGTTTGTTCGAAATCTGTCCCAATCGATCCATGTTCATGTATTCGATAAAGAAGTCAACGATATCGTCGGCAGTTACCGGCCGCCCCAAATCCTTTGCCGGCGTGGATGGGTAGTCGGCGGGTTGATAAACGATTCTCGGAATCAGTCGAGTGTCGTGAATGATGTGGAACAAGTCTCCATCAAGATCACCGCCACTTAGCTTCGATGGTAGATCCCGCGGACCTTGCTGTGAGAATACGACGCAGTTGTGCAGTGCTCTGAGGGGCGAACCTTCTGGAACATCGACTGCTTTGACGACCTGAATATCGCCTGGGTGTAGCGCAGGGGCTCTCGTGATGACTATTCGCTCGCCAACGAGTATGGTTCTCTTCAGTTTGTCGTTCGTATCGTAATCTTGTAGCGGAATGTAGACCTCGCCCTCTTTCAGAATGTTCCATTCGTCCATGATGCCATAAAGGAGGTAGCCGTTCTTGATTGGAATACGCGCGCGATATTTGATATCTCTCAGGCTTGACATAGCTGCCACTTCCACGATGTCGGTGAGGAAGCTGTCCGCGTGGAATGATAGACCCAATTCATTCATTCGCCGAAACAGTGACGGGACTCTCGCGAGATCACCCGAGTGGGAGTATTCTAGCAGGCTTGTTAGCACATATGACCATACGTTCGGGAAGCAGTTCATGGCGATGCCGCCGAGTATGAGGAACCAAACATCCTTTCAGGCCGCACAGCATGTGCTAGAAAACCGGGACTTACCGAGAAGGCTGGCTGCATTCAGAGGATACTCCGTCATGAGTTTCAGTTCTGTGACAGCTTCATCCTGGACCGCCATGAAGTTTTCCGCAGGTATACGTAAATCCTCAAGGATCTTGATGAACTGGTGGTTCAGATATACTCTGAGAGGCTTGTAGGCAGCTCCACAGATTTCCAAATCCCTCCACTCTTCTTTGGCGACGTATTTGGTCATACTCTTTCGGGCGTGCAGTTGATCACCTTGCAATGTCGTATCTAGTGATAGTACCCCCTTCGCACCTCTGAACCGGATCTGTAGCACCGTCGGCCTGAGTGCTCTACGGTCCGGCTGGAAGGCGTTCCAAACTTTTTGGAAGAGGCTCAATGACAAGGTTCCGCAGCCGTCACTGAATGTGCGGTTGTTTCTCGTGACGTCGTCCTTCATTTCGTTTACATAGGCGGTTTTCGAGATTGGCACCGAGAATGTTGTATCTAGATGTCGAGGTACAATGTCAGCACACATCTCACATACGTTTCGTACCGAGTTGAACCCTACCGGAGAACGCCTGCCCTATCCTCGCCGCGCATTTTGCGGCGCAACGAATCTGGGAAAAGTCACCCAAATCGCGAATGCTCAATGAAGTCAGTACAAGTCCCACACGCAAATCATACGTACTTACACATCTCTTGCGCGGACGACAATATCATCTTCCTTGAAAGGAGCCATAAACCAAGCTTCATGAGTACGGAGTGACGCATGGGAAAAGCCGAGAAATTGGAATGTATGTCCGGCGACCGTGATACCCATTCGAAGTACGCCTCGAAAGCGTTCGTAGACTCTCTCTTGCGATGCCCGTGGGTCATGGAATACCGGCAGCTCGTCTTCATCTGCGAAGAACACGCGCATGAAGAACTGGGCGTGGGTTTTGTACTTCCTCAATATACGATTGGAGACGACCCAGTCAGGGCCGCGTAGCAGGATACCTAAAATATGACTTTAGTGTTGCAATTTGCAGTATTGGAAGTCTACATACCGGTAGGTGTGACCGTAGCCTTGTATGTTAAGGCGAGGTGATTTTGCTTCTTCTGTTTGACGTCCCAGATCCGGGAAAGCTCTTCAAGACGTTGACAACATTCGATGCTTTCATCAAGAATGCGCTTAATGGTCTTGATCATGAAGCTTTTCGCTTCAACAGCTGGTGCAGGCGTTGGTATTCGCTTTCCTCTGCGACTGACTGCGTTTGAAGTAAGATCTGCCGCCTTAACACCCGGTGTAGGCGTTGGTATCCGTTTCCCAAGGAGACGAACTGCGTTCGCGGTGAGTTCTGCACCATGCTTCTCAGCAGCATTTTGTACTACCGGTATCAGTTCCTTCATCTTCCACGGGGCGATTGTACCCTCTAGCATGAGCGCTGTCAGTTGGTAACGGATATTGAACGTGAAGGTCTGCGGAAAGGATGGTCCATAGTCGCTAAGCATCTTGTTGACGACTGCATACTCGTGTTCAATACTGCCCGTCAAAGCGGTGGGCTCCATGGTCTTCATCCATTTTGTGTTAGGTCCCGCGAAGAAGGGCTTAACAAAGGTCCAAGCAAGATCAACGCTTCGGGTGTCGGAGAAGGCGATCTTGTAGACCATACACAAAGCGGAGTTCATGTCGTGAGATTTACTCAATTTGCATAGTCTTTGTAGCCGAAGAACTGGTTTTGGCGGCTTGATGCCGAGTCTCGACAATGCGGCAGAGATGTCGTTCGGTGCTTGCTCACCGGCATACAAGTGTAGATCATTAGTCGATTGAATGTCGTAGAACTTCGGTGGAGACTTGAGGGTGAATGTTATCGTTCCATGTTGGCCATTGCCGCGAGACGGAACGATGTGCTCTATAGTAGCATAATCAATATCAATCCTGCAATGCCAGTTGAAGGCTTCGGCGGTTTCTGCCCGGAGGTAAATCTGTGTGGGTAAGCATCCGTACTAACATTGACGTGTTCGATGTAGAAGGATATACCTACCACTAGAGCATTCTTGCCGAACGTAATGTAACCTTGCCTTTTGTCCTTGAGCTTCTGGTCAAAGACGAGCTTGCCAAGGTGATCGTAATCCCAGACGCCTGTCATCAGGGTACGGAAAGACAACGTCGACCCTCCCGGACGCTGAAGTTTCGCGATAGGCGTCGGACTTTTGAATCTTTTGGCCTCTTCTATCTCTTGCTTCTCTCTGAGTGACTTGAGTTGGAGCGGATCTTCCCGACGCTTGTTACTTTGGCGAAAGTCGAGCGGCTGATTTCCAAAATAAAGAGGTTGCAGCGCCTGGCGTCGGCCCTGACTACCGCGTATATCCAGAAATCGATTCCCACTGCTAACGCTCGGTACAGTGAGAATGGCGAAATCATTGTGTTGACTGGAAAACTTTCGAACGTCGAATGCGAACACGTCGACGCTGTGGAGAGCGTCCTGAAGGGTGTAACGTAAGAGGACGTGATTGGCGTCTTTGGGAACCTAATGTTACGGCATCTGGTTAGCGACTGCTTTCCTATTCGCGCCCAGCGGTTACTAGCTCAGGTATTGCTGTGAGCTTACTTTCGGAATATAGATGTCCATCTTGAACGACGGTGTTACCTCGAAAGGCTGGCTCACCAGACGTGTGAGTGATAAGCTTTATTGGCACTCCGAAGTCGCGCGAATTGAGGCAAAAGAGTAGACAATGTGAGGCAGGAAGCTACAGGTCGCTGCGAGCTCGCTGACTGGGGAAGTGGGGATGGCGCTAAGGGGATTGGGCAAGACGCGTTCTCACGTGCGCGTTGCGGGGTTACCTTTCACCTTTGAATCTGAACCACAGCAGACCGCTGATAACAGGCACGTAATTGTACTGTGCTGCTTAGTCAAAACTGCAACCATTGTGGATGTGAGAGAATTCGGCTCTGCTGCCTAGTCCTGTACGACAGTCGCGTAAAAAGGCCCGCATGCGGCGTGTCACCATGCGACAGGTCGCTCTGGAGGAGGGTTTACCAAGACACATCTCTCCCACAAAAGGCAACGATCATCCCACGCTATTCACGACTCATACAACGCAGCCATCCGCATCTGTACGTATCCCCACGCGGTTACAGGCTCGTACTTCTTCGGCTTCTCTTCATCCCAACAACCTGGCAACGCATCGATAACTGTATCCATATTTGGTGTCGCGAACACAGGGATTGAGTAGCGATCTGGTACTACTATCTCCCTGTCGTTCCGTTTGCCGTCTTCAGTGACCTTTTGAAGGACCGGAGGTAGGCCAACACGATGCACACTGCTTGTCCAACGATCGTTGCTCCATCTCGCCATGAGATCTCCGATATTGACCAACACAGTGTCCTCGATGGGCTCTGCAGCACGGAAAGTACCTGGGTTCGCAGGTTCCTGTACTTCAAGTCCTCCAACGTTGTCCTGGAATAGCAAAGTGAGCGTGCCAAAGTCGGAATGCGCGTTGATCCTGCTGCGCTCATTGTTGCGTAGCTGTTCGGCGTCGATGGAGGGGTAGTGAAGAAGCCGGAGTTGGAAGAGCGACTGCGAATGGGTTGGAGAGAGGCCTGGTGCTGGAACGTTGAGAGCAATGGAGAGAGCGTCGAGGATGCTGTGGATTAGACTGGCGCACTCGACAAAGTACTTCTCCATGAATGCGCGAAAGCCCGGAAGCTTATCTTCTGGAAGCCAGATATTTGGCTGAGCCTCATCTTTCACGTTGCCAGACTCGAAGGACTCTTTATAATCAGGCGTCTGCCTCTCATTAGCTTAGACCATGGAGAGCGAAGATGAATGCAACTAACCTCCCTCAGCTTGTTCAGCTCATTAATATCATAAACCCCTTGACTAACCTTCTCCACTCCAGGCGCCGAGTATCCACGATGATGACTGCCACCCGGCGGATGCGGAGCCAGCATCTTGGTCTCAAGCGGTAGATCGAAGAACTTCTTTGACCAAGCAAAGCACTCCTCCACCAGCTCCTTCCTCACGCCATGGTTCTTTAGGTAGACAAAGCCCATACTATGGAATGCATCGTCGATCTCCTTGGCGATCTTCTCCTGATCCTCTGCTTTACCGTGCAGGTACGCGCCGAAGTCGACGATAGGTATGCCGCTCATCTCGTCGATGGCAAGGATTAGAAAGTGAGAAGTGGTTGTGACGGAGAAATGAACAGAGAAAGAGGCAGGTGCTGACTCGCGGGTTGCTTCTATTTTGGGTAGATAGGTAGGAACGGCAAGCACGCAGTAGTACAGCGGCGGGGTCAGGTCATCGGCACTGCGGGGTACGTTCAGTTGTCGCGAGATGCAATGAACGAATCAGCGTGCATCAGCGCAATGCGTCTTAATTGTGAGGCGTTTCTCGATACATGCTTCTGCTATAGGATGCATAGAGTGACACTGCGGCGAAGACTGTTGCCAAGCACGTGATGCTTCCTCGAAGCCATCATCAAGAACAGGCCAACACCAACCTTAAAATGCTATGCATACCACTTTTCCCATGCCCTACCCTTCGTCCTAGAATGCTTTGGTGATCCACCCGCCTCATAACCATGCTACCATACCCGATGCCCATTGGTACCACCGCAAGTCCTTTCGTCATCAAGAATCATACACGCCCGCTTCCCATGGAAGTTTACGACTCTCCGAACATGTCTGCCACACCTGCCAATCCGGGGCTGGTACCTCGGACTATAGTCGGCTGTTGATCCACACTCATGTACTGCTCCATCATGACAGTCCTGGTCTTGGTCTTCGTCGATCTCTGTATTTTGCCTTGCTCGTGAATACTGACACCCTTGATGCTACTCATGAGATCTAGTACGATGCTGCGCTGCATACGTTCGTCCGACCTGTTCGCTCCACGGAGCTTTGCAAGACGGCGGTCGACGCGATACTGGTCACCCATGCCGGGTAGAGACAAGATGATCGAGCGCGGTATCTCCTCGTCCAGGTGAATGATGCCGGCGATGAGTGAGGCGAGCTCTTTCTGGCAGTCCACAAAGTATGGCTCATGGAGGGACGTAATGGCCGATTTGAGGATGTCATTGCAGAAGTAGTCCCGAATGGGCGACTTCTCCTTGAACCGTGGGAGCAGGGTGCGCAATACGCGGACCATGGTGACAACGGACCTCGTATCGCGATAACGTATTGTTGAGTTGCAGAAGAGGAGGATAGGCTCGAGGACGGCAGGCGTTGAGAGAATGAAGTCGCACATGGGCGGTGCGTTGGCTTCTTTTCGACTGTGTTCATCGTGACGGGCAAATTCTGTGACCAGGTCAGCTTTTAGTCATCAAACACGATTAGGAGACTCGGTACTAGAACCGATACCCCAACGCAGATAGAAGTCGCGAAAGGAAGACCACCAAGCACGATAAGTAATAGACGACTTACCCTGTCTCGAATCGAGCAGGACAGCGACAAGCGAAACCGCAGCATATGTGAGCTGTCGTAGTATGCTCTCAGTCTTCATCTCGTCCGTCAAGTTGTCGTTCTGCCCCGAATCCGCCACCTGTCGGGCAACCTCGTTCCATTCTCCGGAGATTTTTCGATCCAGCTCTCTGAATAGCCCCTGTATCATGGGTGGCAGGAAATGTGGTCGTAGACGCGCTGGGCAACCTTCAATGAGATGGGTGGATACGGTTAGTAAGACAGATAGATGATGCGCAGTCAGAGCGCCTGCGTGGCCAAACAGGGCTTGACTCAACGGGCCTGGCAGATCTTCTATCCCATAGAAGAAGTCTCGAAATCGCGTTAACGAGTATAGGATGTAGTACGAGCTCTCCCTAATCTGCCTTACAGTGCCTCGTACCGTCGATGCAAAACCCTCAAACGTCGACTTGGAGCCACTAACTCTTGCAAAGAAGTCGTCTCGGCTCTCTGTCGATATGCCCGCTTGCCAGAACCGATCAGTCAGTACTCTCCGAATAACCTGCTGTAGCTCTACTGGCAAGTGTGACCAGTTGGCGTCGATATCGTTGAATGCTTGTGCATGGCTCACGAGCTGGAGAAGGTTTGGGAGCAGCACTGGTATGGCCTCTGCCCAGAGTAGCGCAGCAGTCTCGTACGCAGCAGTGCCATCGCGAAGCTTTTCCGTCGATGCTGCCAGTAATGTCTTAGTAAGTCGTAGTGGCAGTTGTTGAGAACGGTCAAGAATTGAGGCCTGCAACGCCTGGCCATCACTAGGCAACTGTTGGTCAGACCAGTCCTGAATGCCGCGGAAGTTGTTCGCAGACAGAAACTCGGGTAATTGGCCCATTCCCAATACGCCACAGAAGGACTGGAATGAAGAGATGGCTTGGGTGAACTCATCGTTGCGCCAAGCATCCTTGACACGGTTGAGCATCTGTCTCATGCGCTCCTCTTGCGTGGCGCGCTCTAATGTTGTACATCTATGTATGATGATGAAAAGGAAAGCGGAGTACGCCATACGTTGGCGTTCGTCAGTCGTTGGATCATTAATCATCTCATTGACCTTGGCCTCTAGTTGCTCGTAGACGTTCATAAAGTCGTCAGCGAATTTCATCGCTAGTTTCTGCATCTCAAGACTGCATATGCGCTCGAGGTCTTTCACAGCATCGGAGTACTGTGGATAGTTCGTGTCATCGGCTAGCCGTACTGTAAGCATATACTCCAAGAAGGTAAGAGCGAATCCTGGGCGGTCGCCAAGGGCTTTTGTTGAGAGAGTTGCCATCAAAGATATTATCTTTCTTGCAACTTCAGGATCTTCGAAATGCGCTTGCAGGATTTGCCTGCCCCACTGCTCGAGCGAGTCTTCCAGGGTATTCCGCGTCCGCTCATCATCTTGCGCGTTCTCGCCTTGCCCTTGCTGCCACTTCATGTACCCCTTGAGTGCAGCTTCGATGACAGTGACCTGCGCATCGACCTGAAGGACTTGTGGAGAGTTCTTTGTGAAGTTTTGGCGCTGGAAAGCAGGCTGATCATGGTACAGGTTCTGGAGCATGTTCGTCGCCTGAGCAAGGATATGCGCCATTGCTTCTACTGGTGTCTTGCGAACCAGGACTTCGATCACGTCTGCGCAGAAGCGCCGATAGTTGCCTAGAAAAGCATGACGTTCTGGTACTGTATCAATGTCTTCGTTGAGAAATTGTAACGTAACGTCTTCGGTATCTTCGGGTAACGATTCGTATCGAATGAGTCGGGCGCAGCACGTCTCAAGTAGCCCGCCAACCATGGAGTTGACGACATCAGAGTCTCGCACGATGCTAGATCGTAACAGCTTGGTCCAACAATGGAGAACAGGTATGGAGACGACGAGACTCGGGTTGCGCATGATATCGTATAGGAAACCGAATATGCCGGTTAGGTCGCTGCCATCTGGTATCGATTGGGGCTTTTGCTCGATGAATAGTCCGAGGCTGTTGGCCAACTGTCATCATTAGCACGGTGTGACAAGCCTGAAGGATAAGAAAGGGCCTTACTTCTGAGAGTCTCTTGCAGAGCATGTATTTCTGATCATCTATGTCATTCACATCCATATCCGTGAGCGTCCAGTTGTATACTTCTCGCAGGAGTGAAACACTGCCAGGTGTGAACATGGGGCATACAAGCTCCACAAACTCGTCGTCGTGCAGGTGGGTTCGGTTGTAGATCGCTTGGAGGGTCTCGACGGCGGCCTGTTCGTGTTAGCAGCTGTCCATGTGAGTGGATGTAAAGAGTCGACCTACAATCTGCATCTCTACGGCAGGGGTAGCCAGCGCCTTGCAGACGGCCTCGATGACCTGTGTTGCAGCGATAGCCTTGGGCATGATCCACGGCATGGCCGCCTTGAGGGCCTGCATAGACTTGATAGCGCTTGTCTTAACAGCTTCCTGGTTCTGGTAGTCCTGCCCCAAGCACCATCCCAAGTTGTCGCATAGTCTCTTCAGCCATCCTTCGTCTCCACACCGCACATCCAGACTCTTCTCGCGTGTAGGAAGCTGGTCTTGTATGACGGCAAGCGGTGTGAAAATCTCGACGCAGGCGCGACCCAGGTCGCTACCTCGAAGGCCTGCCGTAGGGTCTTCGCGATTGAAGACTTCCTCAGAAAGCGTTTCCAGGACGTATAGCACGACAGCCTGGTGGTGCAAAGAACTTGTCCAGAGCGAGACCAACAGTTCGTCCATATTCAGCCACTCGGCGCCCCAACTGCGCTTCGCAATTTCCGTCCATAGCTGCGCGACCTTGTTCCTGAGGAATGCCGCATCGTCTTCGGACACGTTTTGGGCGAGCTCGATCGCATAGCCTCGTAACGCTGTGCCTTGGTCCTCGGTGAAGTCTTCCCAGCTGTATTTTATCGAGTGCTCCAGCATAGTGAGGCCATAGTAGCGGAGGGGCGCGGGTTGCGAGCGGTCGAGTGCGAGCGTGTGACCATGTGAGGGCGCTTCCGGGTGCCGTTTCGCTTGCTCGAGGTATTCGGTTGCCTGTCGGCGGGTATCATTCGTGGACGAGGTTGCGTATATGGCCTGCAGCGCTTCTAATATCTGTGAGAGGTCTGAGTCTCCGCTGCCGTTGGACTGTCGGTGTTGCGCTCCACCGCCGCCATTCGTTTGCGGGGCCTGGTCTGCCCCAACGTTCATCGTGCAGAGGGCGTCTCTAGCCTCGGTATATAAAGACGTGAGGTCAGGTGAGTCTAGCGCGAACTGCACGGGGATATTGTAGCAATGTCGTGTGCGTGGTGTTCTGGATTTCGAAGATTCGGGCGGAAGTTGCTGAAAGCGGAAGACGTAGAGGGCAAGGATCGTGGGTAAGGAAGCTTTGGCGCCCGGTGTCTGGGACAGACCAGAGAAGATGGCGGTGTAGCGAGTAAGCCCAGATTCATTGACTCACAGGCCGGGACGTGGTACGCTTTATTTCGAGGGTCCAGCAAGGCAGTCGAGGCCTCTATTCACGTCGCACGTTCCACAGACGCGTTTTGCAGGCTGCAGTCCCAAAGGCACGTCACGTCGACGCGATGTCAGCTGCTTTGCCGCCAGAACTAGGCTCGTCGCTTCCGAACTAGTCTATATCCAATATCGCTATGTACAAAATCATAAGTCTATCATAAATGCTCCCCGAACACCTTGACAAGTATAAAAAAACCGTCCAACGCTCATGTTTCCCCAAATGGATCATATGCACAAGAACTGCTGACTGCGTGACCTGAGCATCGCATGATATTGCATCACCGTGCATCGATTGGTCAAACCCCACCACACCAAACCCCGACATCATCAACTTTGCGACATTACATGACAGCGCAAGTCTGCTTTTGGCACTGCTGGAGATATCCCTCGTCTTCTTCCGTGCCTAACGCGCTTCCCGCCTTTCGCACGACGCCTTTGACAGTCATGACCTGGTCACCTTCCGCGTGCCACCACCGCAGCGTCTGCTGCAGCGCGCCATCGGTCTCCTCGGATGTGATGGTCCACTTGCCACCGCTAACCTCGACATTGGTTTGTCCTGACGGAAAGTGGAACTCGGGCAGGTAGCAGACAGTAGGGAAGTCTTCCGATGTCGAGCTTGGCGCAGAAAGGGCAAGCTTGAATGTGCAGTTCTTGAGGTCGAACCCGTACGACGAAATGTCTCCATGGACGGCAACGGGGGTGGGGCGGATGAAGGCCTCTGCTGCTCGCAGACCCCGAACGTCGTCGTCATCTTTCTTTGAGCTCATTCGTTCTGCGGTGATGGTCTTCTGCAGGTTGGAAGGGTTAATGCTAAGGGTGTCGGTCGACTGTGCTCTCGAGAACGTGGGCGAATTTTTGTCTAGCGACGCACGGGAGTCGGCTGGCGAGAAGGGGCCTGCAGGAACCGCCTTGTCGTCTACTGAGTAGATGGAGAGATCCTCTCCGTTCCAAAGGTCGCCCCAGTAATGGCAGTTCTGGTCTTTGTCAGCCGTGTCCAATTCTAGACAGAATGGAAACATACATTTGCTACATAGGTCCACAGGGCGAAGCCGTTAGCTTTACTGTCTTCAAGCGCGAAGTGATTGGCATCCAAGGCAGCTATCTGGCTGCTGTAGTTACCTGTCTTGTACGCATACTTGTCGTCCATATCGTATGGGATACCGATCTCGGTGAAGATACAGGGGTGAACACCCGTGTACTCTGTACCTTCGTCTCGGATCGCCTTGAGCTGGTGGGAGAAGCAGTTTCTGATGGCATTCTCGCCAATCTTTATGGCGAACGCTGGCGTGAGATACTTTCCTCGCAACACACCGAATACGTCGACATTCCATACGCGGTTCCTATGTGACATTAGACGAGATGAGATAAGAATCAGTATTCTGGAACATACCACTTCTTTGTGATCAGAGTGATGCCATCGTAGAAATGGGGCGAGAAGATCATGTTGGGATCATCGTCTTCTGTGCCCTTGACCTTTGGCGGTATCTCCAACACTGGCGGCTGGAAGAACATCAAAGAATCCGGGAATATGGACTTGACCATCTTGCTGTACGCCCGGTAGTGCGGCAGCCAGTAGTGGTTTGTGAAGTACTCGTAGTCAATCTTGGCCCCATTTTTGGGATCAATTCCGAAGTAGTCCTTCTTCAAGACCGTGTCAGTCGCTGGGTCCCAGACACCGTGTTGCGCCCACAAGCATTCGCCCAACTTCCACCCTGGGTCGCGTTTCCAGCCGTATTTGGTGTCGTCGTAATCTTTCGATAGCCATGCCATAGTGCCCTCGGGATCCACTAATGCCGAGCCACTCTTGTATGGTCCCAGCCCGCCAAATTCCCAAGTCGATATCTCGCAAGCTCTACCCGATCCGGTAAGTATCGCCTGCCAAGCCGTCGGCGAGGTGCCCTTCTGGAGTTTTTGTTCGCTCGGGATCTGGGTAATATCTTGGTAGCTGATGAGGCCTCTGTTGGGCTCATTCATGCTTTCCCACCCAACGATCGGGTCGTGCCACAGGTCGCCTGCTTGGTGTATCCGCTTCGCTAGATGCTCGCATGCCCCGATGTAGTGATCTTGAAGATAGTCCTGGATATTCTTTCCGTCTATGATGGCCTTGGGCGCGAAGTCCCTACCACCAAAGAACAGTGTCCACATGACCTGACATACTAATCGTGTGTAGTTGGTGGTCCAGATCATCTTAGGGAAAGTGGCAGGGTCGGGGTATGTGTTGTGCACGAGGGCGGCTTCGGTGACGGCGAAGTTCTCGGGGTCCAGCCCGCAAGCATAGAGAGTCCACATGGGCGCGCCAGAACCTCCAGAGAATCGTGACCACTATGTGATGCATTAGAGAAGGAGTAAATGAATCTATTGGAATGCTACCTACGACATCCTGGTGAGGATCCATGAAGATGTAGAACCCATATTCTTTCGCCTTTCGTAGGAGAGCGATGGTGTGGTCTATCCACTCCTCGTCGTACTTGCCCGGGCCCGCGTGCTCTATGGCTTCCCACGTGAAGACATAGCGGATGGTGTTGTAACCCCAACTACGTAATCGCGAGAAGTGTGTCGCGGAGTCTTCTAGCGAAAAGGGTCGGTTGACAAAGGAGACATTGTCGCCGTCGAAGAAGTTGTCTGGAATGTGTGACGGCTGATCTGGCTTCGCAGGAAACTTGGCGTCGGCTGCACAGTTGATACCGTGCAGGGTGACTTCGCGGTTCTGGGGGTCTCGAAATATACGTCCGTCGATACGCAGCCGAATGGGAGACATTACTGGGGGCAGGCGTGTGGACGGTGACGAGGAGAGTGAATGAGAGGAACAGGAAAAGGTGCGCAAGGCGGGTGCGAAGAGGAGCTATGAGGTATGCGCCTGTCTAGTCCTGATGGCGTAGCGGCGGCGTTCACGGGCATGCATCTGGGCATGTCGTAATCCATGCCTGCCCGCATTAGCGTTCTGGGGGTCGCGGGGGTCAGTGCGTCCCGGCTATCATGCGGCTGGTCGCTGAGGACAAGTTGCAATTGTTCGACAGTGAAAGGCCAGATAAAGACACGACCCGCTCTTTCCATGAACTGACCGTCGCACCTGCCGTTGCTTCTCTGCGCGGACTATACTCCTGCTTGCTCAACATCCAACCTACCGTCACTCATTCATAGCACGCTCAACCGCATCCCGCCATGATACTCCGACTATCCTCTCTTGCCCTCGGGCTCCTCCCGCTCGCCAGCGCACTCTCCGCCTCGGACATACCCACGGATACTCCCGTGTCGCAGCTTATCAAGGACGCCAGCGTCCAACTCGCGACCGGCAACACCCAAGACGCCCTTCTCTACTTCGACATCGCCATCACCCGCGACCCGCGCAACTACCTCACCTACTTCAGGCGCGGCGCCGCTTACCTGCAAATCGGCCGAACGGCGCAGGCCCAACATGACTTCGACAAGGTGCTGGAACTGAAGCCTGGCTTCGAGGGCGCATTAGTGCAGAGGGCCAAGATCAGAGCCAGAAAGGCCGACTGGGCGGCAGCGCGCAAAGACTACGAGGCTGCCGGCAAGACCGATGCCATCGCGGAGCTGGAAGAAGCGCAGGGCGCTGCCATCATGGCACAGGAGGCGGCAGAGAAGCGCGACTGGGACGCGTGTATCTCGAATGCTGGAACTGCCATCTTAGTTGCGGGAGGCGCATACGACATCCGCAAGACAAGAGCGAGGTGTCGCTTCGAGAAGGGCGAGGTCGCCGAGGGCATCAGCGACCTGCAGCATCTCCTCCAGATCAACAAAGGCGATATCCAACCCCATCTCCAGAGCTCCGCCATGGCCTTCTACTCCCTGGGCGAAACCGACAAGGGGCTCAAGCACATCGCACAATGTCTTCAGTCAGACCCAGACTCGAAGGTCTGCATGAAACTGCGAAGAAGAGAGAAGACCCTCGACAAGGACATCCAAAAGTTGCGCAAGTTCTTCGAGAAGCGCCAGTTCGCCACCGCCTCGAAACTCCTCATCGACCGCGGTGAGGAGGACCCGGGTCTGTTGAAAGAGGTCAAGCAAGACTTCAAGGACTACACCGAACAGGGCTACATCTACGCCAACTCACCCCAAGGTCTTTATCAGACCCTCGTAGAGATGACCTGCGAAGCCTACGTCGAGATGAACAATCTAAAGAAGGGCACACCGTACTGTACCGAAGCCCTACAGCTCAACCCCGACTCGTTACACGCCCTCCTTCACAAGGCTCAATTCCAGCTTGATGCCGACGAATTCGAAGACTGCGTCCGGACCCTAGAGCACGCGAAAGAGCACCACCAGAACCAGAAGCTCGACGAGTTACACCACAAAGCGCAGACACTGCTCAAGCGCTCGAAGACAAAGGATTACTACAAGGTGCTCGGCGTAACGCGCGATGCAGACGAGCGCGAGATCAAGAAGGCATACCGCAAGCTGACCAAGATGTACCACCCCGACAAGGCCTCGGCCAACAACATGACACCCGAGGATGCGCAGAAGAAGATGTCCCAAGTCAACGAAGCCTACGAAGTCCTCTCCGACCCCGAGCTCAAGGAACGTTTCGACCGCGGTGACGACCCCAACAGCAACGAGCAGCAACAAGGCAATCCCTTCCAAGGCTCACCCTTCGGCGGTCAGCAGTTCATGTTCAGACAAGGTGGAGGAGGCGGCTTCCCGGGTGGCGGCGGTAGCTTCAAGTTCCAGCAGGGCGGCGGCGGTTTCCCAGGTGGTTTCCCCGGTGGATTTGGCTTCTAGACTATTGCTATTGCTTACTTATATGACTTGGAGTTTGGGAGCATACACAGTGGGTCAGTCATTCACATGGGTAGAAGATTCTGGCGTTTTCCACTGTATGATATCGTTGCTTCGGCTGTATTGAGAAATGAATTATGGTAGCTAGTAAGTAAGAAGATACCTCTTTCCCGCTAGTTCATTATCCTTCATGTCCTTGATCATTTCGAGCAGTCTTCTCTCTTTTACTGCCGTTTCTGTTCAATCTCCATATCGTGGCCACTACGAACAGGCCCATTTCCTTTGAGTTGTCCTCGAGCAGACTGTACCGTGGAGGTATTCGCTGCGCTGTACCTTTGCAGAAGTCAACGCAGATCTCAGCGAACACCTCCAGGCTGTGGTGTAAGGCTACTTTACTTGCTCTCGTATGACTTCGGATTCGCAACCCATGGCCTTGGGACGGAGCTGTCGGGTACGCCTCGTTGTTCAATGAGCTTGCGGACTAGATCGTCCACGAAGTCGGGGCAAGTAAGCTTAATCAAGTCATTGAGTCCGTTCCATGTTGGTTTCGCATTGAAGACCCAAAAGTCTACCAGTAAGCGTCGGACGGGCGAGCCGGCAGGAGTGCCAGCGTAAACGATCTGTATCGCTGGATTTCCAGGGAATTTCCTCCAAGTTTGGCTGCGTCGGATTATAGCGGCGACGACACTATTCTGGAGCGTAACGTCCATTACCCGTTCTCCCAGTACGTAGAGGCTTGCGAGGTACTTGTAGCACTCATATCGATCGCGATGCACGACTCTTCCTGTATACAACCATCCGCAGTATCCTTCGAAAATGAAAGGATCGACGTCAGACATGTCGATGGGTTTTGAAGAATCTGTGCGCCATTCTTGTTTCAATGCTTTCTTGAAGAACTCAGAGCTCTTCCTCAAGGCGGCGGCGTGGACATGTAATAGCGTCTCCGGGTCGCTGCCGACATGGATAGGCACGATGTCGCCTTCCAAACTGGGTGTCTCGAACTCATTTCCCGCTTCGATCAGGACAATCAGGGCGGTGTCTGAAGTAGGCACAGGATCATTAACTATAGGCATTCTCAATCTGTACGCCATGATGTCAGTTATGAAACATATGATTCGCCTCGAACTCACTTACAGCCACGACTTGAGCCGATGTGGGAGAGAAGAATGAACGGGTGAACGAGCGGTCGTTGATGGCGCGCGCAATGCTGACACAGAGTGAGAGAATATAGCTCAGGTGTCAGGCTAGCGTTCTCTCATTCACCAAGGTGCAACCACCCGCTTTTCGTGTCAGGGGAACATACACGCACATACCGCACTTGTTCTAACTTTCCAGGTCAGGAGATTGCACTTTAGCTCTTCGCGCAGCAGTTCGCACCGTTCACGACTTAACACCAAAATTCACCCTGGAGGTATTCAACCTACTTTTTGGTTGATTTCTACTTGGCCAGAGGACTATGTATACTTCATAGTACATCATCACTTGTAGCGAGTTCTGGATACAAGGGATGTAGTCTCCTACATACCCCAGAATGCATCAAGCACGTCCACCTCCTCCTGGACGGAAGGGTCAGTCTTGTTTGAAGGCTCATCCTCGCTGGAAGACTCATCTTCGCTGGAAGATTCTTCCTCGCTGGAAAGCTCTTCCTCGCTGGAAGGCTCGACCTTGATGAAGGGCTCATCTATCATTGAAGGCTCTTCCTTGATGTGAGTTTCATCCTCAACGTAAGGCTCGTTCTTAACGAAGGGTTCCTCCTCATCGGAAGGCTCATCCTTGATGGAAGGCTCAAAGATCGCCTCGTCGCCCCTGTCTTCCTCCACTTCACTCTTGTTCACGACACCCTTGTTGTAATACAAACTTCGTTGCGAGATCCATGGTCTAGCTTGGGAAGCATCCGGTAGTCCTCGCCTGTCTAACAGTGTCGGTAAGAGGTCATCCAGAAAATGCTTGTTCTCTGGCGCTCGAAGTCTCGTCTTCGTGACCCAAGAGGAGTCCATGTTGAAAGCCCACAGATCCACCAGGAGACGTATCACCGGGGCTTTCCTCGGAGCGCCCTCGTAGATGATTCCGATAGCTTGCAGATCAGGTACTTTGTAGCGTAGGGGCTTTTGACTCAGTCGCGCAGTGATATGGCGGTAGATTATGGCGTCGACGACATCGTTCTGGAATGTGCGGTCGATCAACTTTTCTCCCAAGACGTACATCCGAGCAAGGTAACTGAATCCATTGTGATTGTCTAGTTTCGCGTCAAGGACTCGAGTATATAGCCATTGACAGTATATGTCGAAATCATGAGGCTTTTCGTCGGACAGATCGATGAACCTGCAGAGGTACACGTACGGAGTCAGTAAATGTCTCATATGTATGTATTTCGTAAAGCGAGATCTTACCTGTGAGATAAAATCGACTCGTGACTAATGGCTTTTCTGAAGTATTCGGAGCTGCTGCTGATGAGATCCTTGTGTACGTCGACGATTTGGAGGCCGACTTTGACTGCGATAGTCTCGCCCGAAACACTAAAGACGTTAGATGTCTGTATTGTGAGAAGACATAGGCTTCGATTCACTTCGGTAGCTTGACGGTAAATGCAGCTGTTTCACATGAGTCTGGGGAAGCCATCTTGCTGTAGGCTTCCCGCTCCTTGTTAGTAGGCAACAGCAATGAAGTGGTTAGTCAAGCAGGACAGTGGTTTGCAAGGTATCGATTGGAAAGTGAACCCAAATTGCGACAGAACAGGCATAGAGCAAGGACGCTGCAGCCTAAGCCGATCCTCAACGGTGCGTAGTGAAAGTGAGTGTGAATTTGTCTGAAAGAGGAAAGCGCGCCTTTCTCTCATATTACCCATGAATTCTTCCGCCCTCGGCACCATATAACCTTGGAAGTCCAGTATCCCGCCCTCTTCCATCCCAAGGTCGATACGCTTCTTCAGCCCTCTCAATATCTCGACCCTTTAGGATGTCCTTTGCAGTCTCGCCACCGTCTCCACTTCTGCGCCTTCCTCGCGAACTGCGCGATCAAATATATACTTACACCTTCGAAGAATCGGAGCCCTTTTTGAAAAATCGAGCTGCAATCACGACATCAAGCAAAATTGCGCTCTTCCACGACCTCCCAGCCTTGTGTCAAGCCAACCGCCAACTATTCAACGAAGCCACGCCGATTTTTCTTGCTCGGAACCTGTTTTCATGGAACACTCGAGAGTCACAGCAGCTCTTGGACCTGTATTCTCATCTTCCTGAAGATGCAGCATCCAAGCACGTCAAGCATATCTCAATCTGCAACTGGACCGAGCAAGGCACTGCTACGCACCTGGAACTGATCTTTAAGTTCATTCAGCTCGAATCCATCAATATCATTTTCAGTTTCCCCAGTATTGAAGATGGCGTGCGCATGGAGAGGTTCGATTACACCAACGAGCAAGAGTGTTATTTAGAAACTGGCTTGCACTACGATCTCCCCGAAGGACGCAGCCTCGAGGAAGAGAAGGCGAGTCTTGCGCAAGACGTGGAGACGTTTGTCGCAAAGTATGGTCTCGATCGCATCATCGATATGCCCAAGCTCGACAGCATGCAGTTCCAATTCGCAACGAATCAAGGTGAAGAGGATGCTTTTGGCGGCAACCAAGAGTATAGGCATCGCTTGTGCAATCCGTTGTGGAGGTGGGCGACGAAAAAGATGGAGGAGAAATGGGGAGCTGATAAGTTTTTCGTCACGACTACGATGCCGGAGGACTATCATCATGTGAACAGGCCGTATGTCGGGTGGTGAGCTTACTTGGACCCCAAGGTCCGCGAAACTAATCGCACTCCGCGTCGTAAGAGTACTGGATATCTCACCACTCTTTACGGATTCAAACTTCTTGTAGCTGCTTGTCATACCCGTCTGAGTTGGGCTCGACGGCTGCACTCCACTCGGCGCCTTCGAGGACCTATGTATATGAAAGGCAAGTGGCGATTGCTAGGGTCAAACTGTGACAACAGTGTATGATTGTAATCTTTGAGTTATTGACAGCGGCCTGCTCCAAGACCTATTGAAACCGCTCATGGAAGCCCTGGCCCTGATCTCGAGGTACCTTCCCGACTATAGAGTATCTATAAACATCTCCGGTGTGATTGTAATAGCTCTTAGTCGGAAGTGTCCATCAATTCATCCTTCGCATTCTCAGTCTCTTTCCCGTTGTTCTGTTCCGCCCTCAAACGGTACTGTTCAGGAGCCACCACCCACGGACTAAGTTTCCGATTGATAGGATGTTTCGTACAAGAACGAATGAAGCCTCTCACCAAGTCGTCCACGAACTCCACGCTGGTTTCCTCTACAAGACTTCCCGTAATATTCCAGTCTTCATCGCAACCGTATACAAACATGTCAACCATAAGTCGGCGTGCTGGAGAGCTTGCACTACTGGTACCCGAATAGATGATGTTGATAGCGTCTTCTGGAGGAAAGGAGTCCCTTTCTATTGCATGGTCGATCATAGCGGAAAGAACAGCGTTCTGGAAGGTCTCGTCAACGAGTCTTCCGCCTAAAACGTACAAACGAGCAAGTTGGATGTGTCTGCCCAGAAGAGGCCGAGTGACAGCGACCTTTCTGCTGTAGAGCCAATTGACGTAAGATTCAAAATCTTCTGGTTCTTCGTCCGCCAGGTCAATTTGTTTCTTTGCGTTGGCGCGCCATCTTCGCTTCATGGCGTTTTTGAAGAAATCAGATGTCGCCGTCAGTGTACCGATGTGGACGTGGAACTTCTTTCTGCCCACTTTGATAGGCATTGGCACGCCGGAGACACTAGGAGAAGTCAGTAGGGCCCAATTCATCATAAGTAATAGTTGCTCACTCTGGAGATGGCGCAGTTGTGTCGTCGTTAACATGGCTCCGGATTTTCGCGCGTAGTGACATAATGTACACAGGCGAAGTATGGTTGAATAGCTTGACAAGGTCGGGTCGATGGTGATGATAGTGGGGTTGAGAGTGTGGAGTGGGTCTTCCGGGTCGTTTATAAGGAGTTTCCACGCAGAGAGTGAATCTCAGGGTAGCATTTGCTGACAAAGTGAGAACCTGAGCGCGGCGCTTGCCCAAAGAGAATACCGCGTGAAATGAAAAATCAATTCCCCGAATGTCTTGGTCTCAATACCATTAAAAACTACGAAACTCCCCCTGTTTGGGTACATGTGCTTCCACAGATCGTCTTCACTTTTCGGTGTGAATTACAAACGAGATTTTGGGGTTTCGCTGTTACTCATAGTGATCAACAGCGAGCCGAAAGAGACTGCAATCAGTGTAGTTCTTACTAGCACAGAGAAGGTAAATACAATGTTGACATGGCTAATGGTACACAACATACCAAAGGCGTCCACGGGTATCAAGAAATCAATCAGTCTGCCTCTCCGAAGTCGCTATGTCCCGTTTCGGCTGCGTGCTGCATCGCGCCCCGTTCTCCTGCCCCTTTCCAACCGCATGTGTTGCACTTGAGATCAAATTTCTGTGTATCGGTGTAATAGTGGGCTTTCTTCAGCTGCCCGCAGAGTTCCCTCGCAGCTTCAAGAATCACGTCGTCTGCCGCATCGAATATCTTAACATCTTGCGAAGGATCTTGCGTGGACGCACCCTGGGGCACGAAGGCGATCGTGTCGTAATGGATACCAGAATACACCACGATACAGCGCCTCGGTCTGCCCTCGTTGAATCGGTCCACCCGGTTGTCCTGAACATTGACACTGGCGATCTCGATGTCAAACTCTTGGGAAAGGATGCTGAGTTCGATGCCACCACCCCACGAGTCGGCATACGATATCCATTTGCAGTACTCATCTGGAGAGCGTTGCAGAATCGCCTCGTTGTACTGTTCCGGGTCTCTTTGAATAGCTTGCGCAACCATCGATCGAAGCTCGGTCATGGAATCGAGAGAATCTGTCAGGACTGCGCTACCAACAGCTCGAAACATGCAGGAGTTGTCGTCAGGCATGACCCGAAGGACCATAGTGCCACCGCGGTCAGGCACGGGAACCTCGGGTGTTTCCTTGAGCGCCGAGTTCTGCTTCCGTTGAAGGGATAGTGGCGCCGCCTGTGATGTGTTTGCCTGTAGTTCTTGCTCCTGCTTCCGTTCGCTCGGGTCGCCAGTGGCTTGTGCAATGACTATGATGGATGCGCCGTTCAGCTTGAGATCGATATCCTTCAGCAACGTCGACATGCCGTATAGGGAAGGGTCGAGCGGTTGAGGCGGGTGGTTCCATTTCAGCTCGAAGAGTGGTAGTTCTGTCTTCTCGCTGATAGAGGACAGAAGGTCCGAGACGGCGGCGTTGTCGTCGAGTGATAGTGTGTGGGTGCCATTCGGCGCGCGTAACCGGATGCGAATCGGCATGGTTTGATGGGTCGGCTGGAGAGATGGAGTGATATACGTGTACGGAGGGATACAGGTGAGGGAGCTTCGAAGGCGTGGCGCGTGATGACAGTTGACTGGTGGGGCGACTTAGCGGTGGAGAGCTGCGCTGGTATTAGGGAAGCTGCGATGAGTGAGTTGGTATGAAGAGAGGTGAATCTTCACGAATGCGCAAATATGAGGAGAGCTTTGTTAGGAAGAAAGGATCGTTTGTCAGCTACGGGAGAAGGCTACAAAGACGACAGTTTGCACGGATCGGGTGACATAGCTGGCGTACGTGAAGGTTCCCGAATCATGGAGGAGGCCGGCCGTCCCCGGGGATCGGCGAATCTTACCTCCGTCCGGCGTCGCGACTTCCAGCATCCAGGACGCGACACGCCAACACCTAGCGCAAGAAGGATACCGGAACACGACAGCATCGAGTCGACTATCGCAGACATGGCGACCGGACGCGCCCCAAGCTCGACACCGGTGCCCACGACCGAGACGGCTGAGTCCGCCGGCGCAACGTCTACCGTCACGGCGCCAGAATGGGAGGCCATGGCCAACCTCCTCAAGAATGTATACGACTACAGGATCGACGAGTAAGTTTCGACTTTATATGCGCCATGCTGCTCCCAGCTGATTAAAGTGCAGTGGAACATACGATCCTACCAAGCTCTTCCAGCGCAAAGTGAACAAGCGCGCCGTGCCCGACTACTACGATATCATCAAGGAGCCCATGGCCCTGAGTACGATAAAGGCCAAGATTGCGCAGCGAGAATACAAGAACTTTTCCGAGTTCGTACGCGACCTGGCGCTCATTCCCCACAATGCGCAGGTGTACAACAGGCAGGACTCGCAGGCATATGTCGATGCGCTCGAAGTAAAGAAGGTCATCGAACGCGAGCTGAAGAGGCTAGTCGACGACAAGATCGTTCCTGAGACAGTCGCCACCCTGCCGTTCTTGGGAGAGATTCCCGAACAAGACCCGCTGTTACCAGAGGAGGAAGAAGAGGAAGAGGAAGATGACGATGAGGAAGAACTCGAAGTGGACGAGGAAGAGGATGAGGACGAAGAAGACGAGGGCAAGCGCAAGAGGCGCCGCGGACCGCGTTCCACAGCAGCTATCACCAAGCGTGAAGGCGGTTCAAGAGCAGCAAAGGAAGACGCCAAGGCCGACGATCCAGAATCGCGGAAGAAGCGCGGACGACCGCCGCGGGTCGACACTCCTATGGAAGCGCGAATCAAGACCATTATGAAAGCAATCAGGAAACCGCGGAACCAACTCAACAAGCTCATGGTGAGCGCATTCGAGCGCGTCCCGGACAAGACAGTCATGCCCGAGTATCACTCTGAGATCAAGAATCCAATGGCCATGGACATCCTCAAGCGGAAGCTCAAGCGAAAGAAGTACAACTCTGTTGATCACTTCATGGTCGATGTAGAGCTCATGTTCGAAAACGCGAAGCAGTACAACGAAGAGGAGAGCCAGATCTACAAGGACGCCGTGCATCTCCAAAAGGAATCGCGCAAGGTTGCAAAGGCCGAGAAGGAAAAGCCAGATACTGAATACGTCATGGAAGAAGGTCGCATCCCTATGCCCAGCGGCATCGTTCACAACGGAGAGCTGTGGAAGGTCGGCGATTGGGTGCACATTCAGAACGCGAACGACCTTACAAAGCCGATTGTTGCCCAGATCTACCGCACTTGGCAAGACGCGAACGGTGGACAATGGGTGAATGCCTGCTGGTACTACCGCCCGGAGCAGACCGTGCACCGTTTTGACCGACACTTTTTCGAGAACGAAGTTGTCAAGACTGGCCAATATCGAGATCACCGCATCGACGAGGTCGTGGACCGATGTTTCGTTATGTTCATCACCCGTTACAACAAGGGCCGTCCTCGCGACTTTCCTTCTGATAAAGAGATCTATGTCTGCGAGGCTCGATACAACGAAGAGAACCACAAGCTCAACAAGATCAAGACATGGGCCAGTTGCTTACCCGACGAAGTGCGAGACAAGGACTACGTAATGGATCTCTTCGATGCGCCTCGGAAGTTGAAGAAGGTGCCCAGTCCGATCGCGTACCTGCTCAAGGACGAGCAAAAGGAGGACGACGATCTTCCAAAGCCAGAGTGGGGAGCTGAGAATGCTCCCCCAAAGATTGGCGCCGTGCATCGTCGTCCGCGTGACCCCAAGGTAAGTGAAAACTGCTCTAGGCCACCATGAGACCCAAAGCTAACAGTTCTTGTAGGATTCACCACCTCCCGAGCCCACCCCACCGCCGCCTCCGACACCTCCACCAGCACCCGCTATGCCTACTCCAAGCTTACCCACGGCTTCGTCACATGGCTACGACTCCTCGAGGAACTATCCGATTGCGCAAGCGCCGACTCTGACGCCAATGCCTGCCCCTACACCGCAACAGCACCATGTCGCGCCAGCGTACACACCGACCCATGCGACACATTACCATACGCATTCTCAGTCGCCCGCCCCTCATATGCACCCGCAAGCACCGCAAGCACCTGCCTATCAACCTATCACACCACATGTGCCCTTTACACCCCAGCCAGCTGCGCCCATGCAGGGTTTCCAGACACCGCGGGCCGCGCCAGGCTACCAACAACCGTATCCACAGCAACTGCCGCTTAACTACAAGGCCCCGCAGCCTGTGGAGGTCTACGTCATGGCCGACCATGCAAACGCCAGTATACCGCTTGAGATCCGCGAGCAGTTCCAGCGTGACGAAAAGGGCCGCATCTTGTTCTTCACCGCGCCGCCGCTCAACGTGGAACAGCCGCTGACTAAGGATGGGCGCGCATTGGGACACTCGGCTCGTTATCTCGCTGCTAAGGCAAAGAAGGAAGCTCTGAAGGCCTCAAAGCGTAAAGCTGGCGAGGCTAATGTCGATGAGCGTGACCAGGCAGCGAAAAAAGCCAAGGCTGATGAGGAGGCAAAGTTCAAGAAAGCTGTCTCGGAACTCGGTACGAAAGCACTAAAGGCATTGGAGGACCAGCTCGCCATCGCTACGAAGACGGACTTGGAGGGTCTTTTTAACGGCCAGACTGAAGAAGGCATCTCCGCGGTTCTGGATCAGCTCACCACCGCGCAGAAGATGGCTGTGCAGCGTGAATTGGAGCGTGAGATACACATCAAGGAGCGCGAGGAAAGCAGGATGACAGCAGTCACCGGTATGACGGCGAGATTGGAGGAGAAGTACTAAGGTACTGTGTACGATCCAATGTATTTGTGATATCCAGTGTAAGGTTACAAAGAGACCACGGCGTTTTGATGCTTGATAGTGGTTTCGGCTCCACACGAGTATATTCTGGGTATGCTTTGCTAGACTCAATTGGAACTTCTTTCTGTCTGGGACCAGCGTAACCTTCAGTTCTGCGTTGACACTCTCTTACACAGCTCCCGTCCGTGTGAATTCTTCACTCACTTCCGTAATAACACAGGGCCTGAATTTATTCCGAGTGCTCACCATTGTTGCACTCAAAACGGATACACCAACGAAGCCGGTATTCTACCTACTTGAGTCTGGATACCTTGCTTATCCATGGCGCATCATATCTCTCAATACATGCTGGTTCTTCCAAGTCCAAATTCATCTCCACCTCATGCCCGACGTCGCTGCTGCAACAGCCCGAGAGTCATCTAGACTAAAATCCCCAGCGGTCATCAAAGACCTCAGTTTCGTATACCGCCCATAGATCGGTGCGCTCGAGATACTCTTTTCCGTGATCTCTTGCCTTCTCAAGCAAGAAACGACATTTGCCATACCCGTACGTTGTCGCAACTGAGATTGCCGAGGTTCTGTTCTTCCCAACAACTCTGGGGTCCGCGCCGTGGCTGAGTAGAAACTTGACATCTTTTTCGTACCCATCATTTGCGGCCTCCCACAGAATGTTGTTGCCGTCCTTCGTAATACTGTTAATCGATGCACCTTTGTTGATGAAAAGGCCGGCAATATCGTATCGCCGTCTCTTGAGGGCTTGCTGAAGTGGAGTCTTGTCCGAGCAGACTTTGTTGAGTTCCACGACACCATCTTCCAGTAGCATACTCCAGATCTTGATCCCACCTCTTCGGTATAGGCTCTCAAAGGATTGAGAATCAAGGCTGTAATATTTCTTGGTCCCTTTCTTAACGTGCGCCATAATCCCAGGGTTATTGACCTCCAAAACGCGGTACAATAAAGCCGTGTTGTCGCACTTAGAAACTTCGTTGACGAGCCAGTCGCCCATTTCGTCAGGCGCAAACGTGGAGAAGAACTTGTTCTCTTCACGGAAATCGAACAACATATTTCCGGCGACGTTTTTATGCAGACGTATCGCCGTACACAACGCTCTGCCGATCTTCTTGGCGGCATTCCGCATGTCCTTCCATGAGCCGGAGTCGCGCTTGCGCTTGACGTTGTCCACGAGGTACTTGAGGATGCGCTCAAGCATATTGAACTGATCTGCTGCAATTGCGGCTTTGAGTGCACTCGGCAGAAGATCATGGCTTTGCTTGAGAAGCAGGGCTGGTGTAAGAGTCGGGTTTTTGAAAAGCTCAATATCTCCTGAAGCGGCAGCAATAGCGGGCAACATATCTGCGAGCGGAACTGGCCATTTTTCTTTGTTGAAAATATCAGTACCCTGGATATAGGCACGTAGGTATTTTGGCTCGACTGCCATGATGCTAACGCATATGATCATGGTCTGTCTAGATCGAAGTGTAGAATCAGGTTCGGAAGCCTTGACTATATCGCGAATGAAATGTATGACTTGGTTCTTCAGAGTCTCGGGACGCATAGCAGTCTCGTAGAGAACTATTAAAATAGGATAAGATAAAGATTAATTAAATACTAAAAGTAGGCGGCAAAGCCGCCCCTATATACTAGCTACTAAGGTAGCTAAGAACTAGCTACCTAAATATTTAAATTCTAATACTTTCTTTTAGAATTTAATAATTCTATGCTACTATTAAGACTAGGCAGCTTTATTAAACTCTCTAAACCTTATAGAAAAAAGAGAGAAGAGTACTACTTATTACTCTAAGTTTAGCTAGAACTTCTTTATTTCTCTAGCCTAAGAGCTACTTTAAAGCGCTTAAAGGTAGCTTACTATAAGAGCTTTATAAGCCTATTAGCTACTTAATTAGCTATTAGAATATACTCTAGCGTAATTATACTAGCCTCTTAAACTTCTCTAGTATAGTACTATTAAATATTAATATACTTAGATCTAGCGTAGTTATTAGAGTTACTAGCTAGCGCAATTACGCTCTAGTTATCTACCTTAATAAAGGTTGCTAGTAAATTTAGCTTTATAACTTAAAATTTAGCTAGTAGTTCTCTTAGCTAGATAGCTTTCTTAGTAGCTTAGGTCTAGCTTATATACTTAGCTTTATATAATAAAAGAGTAATAGTATACTAGCGTTTTAAGCTCTAGCTAATAGCTACGCTTTCTAAATTAAATATATAGCTAGAGGTAGAGTACTGCTTTTTTAGATTACTTCTCTAATTAGCGTTTATATAGCCTTAGAGAGCCTATAATTTACTTTTATAGACTAGAACTAGCTTATTAGTATCTTTAAGATACTACTAAAGGTACTTTATAGTAGCGTAGTAATTTTCTACTAGATTAGCTATATAGTAGCTAAGATAGCCTATAGTAAAGATAATATTAAGCCTTATACCTAGTATTAAGTATATAAGAGATTCTATAGCCTTCTAGTAGTGTTTAATATTAGGCTTTAGAGCCTAAAAGCCTTTTAGTCTAGGCCTAAGGTAGCCTTCTATAAAGGTACTATTAGAGCTATACTTAGCTATACTAAAGTTATTTAGAATCTTAGCTAAATAGCTAGCCTATAATAGCCTAAGAGTTCTATTAGAGTAGTTATAGATAATCTCTATACTTAGGTAGAAGTAGCATTTGCCTAGGTTACTTATTTTAAATCTAGCTAAAAAAGTAGTCTTAAGTACTAAGATTTTATCTAAGCTTACTCTAGTAATAAGAAGGTTATTAATATAGATAGCTATAAATAGAAAGCCTTTAGTAAAGATTTCTAGGTCTAAAGTAGTAGAAAAGAAGCCTTACTCTTTTATAAAATTAGTAAGAGTATTATACTAGATTCTTAGACTTTATTTTAGTCTATATAAAGCTTTACGTAAGTAATAAAGCTTCTCTTTACTATCTTTAAGCTTATAAAGAGGTTTAATAAATATCTTAGTATTAATATCTTTATAGAGAAAGACTATCTTAACGTCTATTTAGTAAATCTCTAGATCTATAGTAGTAGTAATAGTAAACAGTGCCTTATAGCTTATAGGCTTTACTACTAATATAAATATTTTATAGTAGTTAATACTCTTTTACTACTTAAAGCCTCTTACTACTTAGTAGGCCTTATAGCGCAAGACTTTGCCTTAGAGGCCTCTCTTAATTTTAAATACCTACTTACTACCTAAGGCATACTAGGTTACTTTAGGTACTATATTCTAAGTCTTATTAGCTTCTAGTAATATAATTTTATTATTAATAGCTGCTAACTAGAAGAGCTAGTATAGGCTCTAGTAGGCTTTCTTATAGATTTAGAGCTTACTATTCTTAATAGCTATAAGAGTAATACTATATTATTAGCCTAAGTAAGTTTTAGCTAGCTCTAGAAGCTATAGTTTAGAGTAACGTTCTAGAGTATTAGTAGAGATAATATAATCTAGTTTACTACTATTACTAGCTAAGAGTATTAATAGTAGCGTTAACTATACTAAATTCTAGAGCTTCTTAGGTGTTATAAATTTAAGATTCTATAGATTACTAAGTAGTATAGTAACTTCTCTAGCTTCTAAAGCTAGACTAATAGATAGTATAGTAGAAACTTCTCTAGCTTCTAAAGCTAGGCTACTAAGTAGTATAGTAGATTTCTTTTATAAATTAGTATTAATTTTAGATAGTTTAAAGAATAGATCTCTACTATTACGCTTCTCTCTTTAAGGTACCTAAAATTACTTCTATAATTACTAAGAGGCATTCTCTCTCTTTCTCTTCTAGCTAGCCTAGAAGTTTGCAGTATATAGTCTATCTTCTAGATAGACTAGGTTATATATAGTTATTACTACTCTATCTTCTCTAAGAATATAGTATACTAAGGCCTTTTTATAGCTAAGTAAGTAGTATAAAACACTCTTATTCTTACTAATCTTATTTCTTAGGCTAGTTTTATAGCTTAGGCACTAGCTACCTAGAAAGCAAAGGTAGGTAATATTAGAGACTATGCTAAACTAAGCCTAGTAGAGCGTTATATTTAGGCAAATATAAGAGGTTAGTATTCTTAAGTACACTACTAATCTAATTAGATTAGACTAGAATTTTATATTTAGGCTACTATTAACTAGTATAGTATAAAAGCGTTCTTTTAGAATTTAATTTATAATCTTAGCTATACTATTAGACTAGTACTAATTAGTTACTATAAATTTAGCTATAATTCTCTTATCTTATAAGAAGGCTAGTATTTTATTACTAGTAAATTTACTAGCCTTATTAAAGTAAATTTAGTAGTAGCGCTTCTTAAAGGTCTTCTAGCGCTTTAGGTAGCGCTTAATAGCTATTAAGGCCTTACTATAGATAACTATTAGTGTTACTATAGTAAATCTAGTAGTATTATCTATAATAGTAAGCTAATAATGCTTACTATAGCGCCTAGGTAGTAATAGGCTAATAGCGTCTATATAAATAAAGTCTAGTAGGTACTTACTACGCTTTAAGAGCTTATTATATAGTATTTAGATAAATTTTACTTTTACATAGATATTATAGATATAGGCTAGTAGAAGTAGCTTTATTCTAGTAACTATCTTCTAAACCTTTTCTAAACTATTCTATCTAAAATAAGCTAGTCTTCTATGCTATAGCTTTAGTTAATCTTAATTTAGTAAATAGGTAGCTATTACTATAGGCTATATCTAAAAGTAGAAGAAATATAGCCTATACACTTAGTTATAGTACGCTATAAGGCTCTTTAGTATTAATATACTAATACTATTTAGCGTAAAATTTATAATAGCGCTACGCTTCTATAACTAGAAAACTAAGACTAAGTTATAGCTAGTAGTAGAGAAGTAAAGAGTATTAGAGAGATGTAGCCTCTTTAGCTCTCTATTAACGTAGATAATAAGTTAAATTATACTAACTATTATAGATTATTAGCTAGCTTTTCTAAAATCTACTATTAGTAGTCTAGTGTATAGCTAAAGGCTTTTAGGTAGAAAAGTAGAGCGTTTAGAGAAAATGTACCTACTATAACTAGTATCTAGAGCCTAATTATTTAGTAAGGCGTAAGGCTCTTAGCTTACTATAAAGCTAAATCTACTTTCTTTAAAATTAGAGAGTAGCTGCTAGTAAGCTAGGCTACTTACTATTAGCGCTTAGGTAGCCTAAGTTTTTACCTTTCTAGCTAACTAGGCTTTATCTACGTTACTACGCTTCTAGATTTTATGTAGGTAAAAGAACTTCTTATAGTAGTTATTTACCTTATACTCTTAGTGTTTATAGAAGAAGTATAGGCCTTTTCTCTTATATTAGCCTAGAATTTAGACTATTAGAGCAAAATTCTTAGGTTATAAATAGCTTTTTAGCCTCTATTTAAATTACTCTACTACTTAGACTACTTCTTTAAATAAAATAGTAGCTATTTTAACTAAATTATTAGTTTTTTACTTAGTAATTAGGCTGTAGGTTTAGTAAAAGGTTGTAAGAAAAGTAGCGTAGTTATTATTAAAACTACTAAGAAAGTAGTTTATAAAGAAGAGCTTAGTAATCTTAATACTTATATTAAGAGCTTTAAGTTTAGATTTTACCTTATATAAGCGCTTAGCAAAGTCTAAGATAGTTCTCTTATAGGTATTAAGAGTAATACTCTTATATTTCTAGTATAGATTTTAGAATATAGCGCTACCTATAGATTAAAAGCGTACTCTAAGAAGTTTAAAAGCTACTACTACTCTTATTACTATCTATTTCTTTTTTCTTTCTTCTAGAACTACCTTAGCGTTAGCACTATAGTAAGAAAGAATTATCTAGATAGCCTTATTTTAGTTTTGCTTCTAAGTTTTATAGTAAGTAGCCTTCTTCTTTACGCTCTTACCTTTAACTTCTTATAGCTTAATAGTATTAAGCTAACCTATAAAGTATCTAGTAAAGCTAGAGAAGTCTAAGAACTTAGTTATTTAGCGCTTCTATTATAGCTAATTATTAAGTTCTTCTAGTAGCTTAATCTACTAAATCTTAGTAAAGCTTATTATTTCTATAGTGTTGTTTTTGTAGTAGAGAGAGTAATTCTAAATCTAATAGTACTATACGTTTAGTCTTTACCTAGTAAATAATAGCTTCTCTTATCTAATATTTAATCTTATTCTCTACTTACTATTAGTATATAAAGATCTTAGAGTTAAGAAAGTTATAGTAGACTTATTTACCTTTAAGAATTAAAGAGCTAGGTATATAGATTAAAGAAGTAATAGCTTTAAGGCTAAAAAGATTATAAGAGCTAGCTTAACTAAGCTAACTTTTAGTAGTAAGAGAGCTAGAGTAGCTTAAATTAGTTTTAAGGCTTAAGAAAGTGTATAAGAAGTTATTAGTATTAAAAAAAGTTAATTTAATATTAGCTATAAGGTATTAAAAATAGTGTATATTAAGGTACCTTTAGCGCGTTAAAGACTATAGTAGATAAGGTTAAAGTAAATATTATAGTAATAATAGGTTTATATTACCTATAAGGTTTTACTTATACTAGTAGTATTAGTAGTAGTAGCTAGCGTATATTGTCTTTCTTTTTAGTAGTAGAACTTAAAATAAGAGAGCTAGAAAGTATAGGCTATATTTAAAACAAAGTGCTACGCTTATTAGCCTACTAGTTAAGCTAGCTACTAAAGATACCTACTAGCTATATTTACTTAAAAAATTTTGCTTAGCTACCTACCTAGCTTTACACTTCTCTTTTCTACTACTACTAGGCGCCTTTTCTTTTTAGCGATAGTAGACGCTACTACTATTCTTAATCTAAGACTAGGTCTCTCTCTATAATCTAGAACTAAGTCTTATTCTAGAGAAGCTAGAGCTAGTCTAGTAGGCTACTAAAGAGATAGAATAATTTAGCGCTTTTAAAAGCGCTATTAGTGCCTTAGCTATTTATTAGTATTAAAAGCTTAGCTATTTATTATTTATAGCTCTATTACTATAGCCTAAATTTAGTAGTTCTTCTTAGCTTATCTCTAGCAGCTCTGCTATCTATAAGACCTAGTAATTTAGATAGCCTCTCTCTCTATAGCGTTACTAATAGCTACTAGCTTTAGACTAGTTACTACTAAATTTACTTATTTAGTGCCTACGTTATTAGCTCTAATAGCTACTAACAATTTAAGCTAGCCTATTTCTAGTTCTACTCTAAAATTTATTAGAATTTTAAGATCTTCTTTATAGTTTATATAACTATAAGTATATCTACACTATTTTCTATATAAAAAACAGTACCTCTAAGATAGTTACTACTACCTAAACTCTACGCTATAAAATTTAAGCTAAATAATATTTCTACATACTATATAAAGACTGTAATTTTCTAGTAACTAAGTAGTAGCTTTAGTAAACTATAGTTATTAGACGCGCGTAGTTCTCTAGGTACTATATAGTAGCTTTAGTAAAGTATAGTTAGCTAAAATAAGAGTTCTAGAAGTGTATTTTACGTAATAGGTGTCTTTAGCGTAGAGTATTCTATAAGACAGAATCTAAAGATTTATAGTAGGTAGCCTTATCTTTAATAACTAAGAATATTCTAGAATTATTAAAGAAGTAGAATTACTACTTATAAATAACCTTTTAAAGCTTTTCTAGTTTAAGTTTTAACTAGAGCATATAATATAAAAGGTAATACCTAGTAAATAGAGGCTGCTGTAGTAGCTATACAAATTCTAGTTACTTTTACCTCTATCTCTTTAAGTATAATAAGCTTATATAAAAAATGCTAAAAGCTATAGGTTAATAGCTAAAGATTAGTTCTAGAGAGTAGAAGACTTTATCTCTATAACTTAGCCTAAACCTACTATTTAGAAAGCTTCTTTATCTCTTTTAGAAATACTCTTTAATTAATATTAGATAAGAGCTTATTTAAGATAAGCTTTAGTTCTCTCTAGTTCTTAAGAGCTCTACGCCTAAGAGAAGTATTTAGATTACTATATTATAAAAGGTTATAGGCTTTATTAAAGAGAACGCTTACGCGCCTAGTAAGAGAGTTTAAAAAAGAAAGAGAGAGAAAAAATAGGTATCTTTATTTTGCTGCGTAAAATCTAGGCTTATAACCTATTAAAATAGAATAAGATAAAGATTAATTAAATACTAAAAGTAGGTAGTAAAGCTGCTCCTATATGCTAGCTACTAAGGTGGCTAGGAACTAGCCACCTAAATATTTAAATTCTAACAAGAACATCGCTACCATGTTGTTCGAATAGGCGAGTGGATAGTCGGTCATCCAGGAACTTGGCGAGATCCTTTGGGACAGCGGCTGCAACGACACGTTTCTTGATGATGTTTGCGAACGTTTCTGCTCGCTGTCAATATCTTCAAGCATTTGGCTCATTCATTGGACTTACTGCAGATGAGTCGATATCGTAGAAGACTCCGCTGCTCGACGTCCTCTGCAACAGCCGCCAGGACTTCCTCGAAGATCTCCAAGGGCAGATCTAACAACGGCATGCGGGGCTGTTGTCTGATGAGTATCAGTTGTAGAGGGATATGCAAAGAATTGCTCGGTGTTTATTTTGTGAAAGATACTTGCTGAGGTGTCAAAGAAAACAATAGCTTTAGTTAGATGTGAAACGCCAGAGCAGTGGGTCAATCCGCCTTCACCTTCGGGTCTTGACTCTTACTTGATGATTCAGCCAGCAATCGCAACGATAGTACTAATGCGGCAGGTGAATACGTAGGTGAAGGTAGCTTTCCCGTCGGCGTGGTATCCGAATCCACCCACTCTGTTCTACAGGATTAGCAAACCTAGAGAGACGTCTAGGTACAAATTGTGCTGCTCGCATGATCATGTCCTGACGATGATTTGTAGTCTCCTCGACATCGTGTGATATCATGACAAACACCGACAGCACGTCAGCTGCTTATAGGCTCAACCTACTAATATGAGCGTATTCTTGTCAATTTGCATGCACGACGACCCGTATCACTTGCGAGATTCTTAAAACGCCACCACCTGCTTATTACCATTTTCCGCTTGCCAGTTCAATGGCCGGAGATAGCTCATACCTCATGTTTACACCTTCCAGGGAGGGTAACCAGCCATACAACCCAGAGTGAGTTGAGCAGAACTAGCTCGTATCGTTTACTGACCATCAATAGCCCCACCAGCGATACCATTACTGTGAAAGTGGGGATGCCGAATTTCAACGATGGAAAGGACATCTTTACTGTTCAGAAATCCGTCCTTTACAACGATGATCAGTTCCGCGGCGGGTGTTGGATCAATAACGATAGGACAGTACATCTCAGAGCGAACCCCGAAGACTTCAAGACCTACATGACATGGCTGTACACCCGCCGACTGCCAGAGCATATTGCGGACCCAATGCTGGATACCGAGTCGAACCTGAACTGGCTGCCGACTTCATATGGTCTCGCGCGTAAAGTTGGTGATCCACGTTACCAAGACCTTCTGATCAGTCGAATGATCGAGTGCGCGCGAAGGATCGAAAGCTTCCCAAATATATCGTTCGTCGCAAGGTTATATGACGTGACAGAGGGTCTTGCGCATACGCCGGACATCCTTGGTCGAGATTTGATGGTAGATATCTGGACGTGGAAATGCCGACCTGAATGGCAGAGCCTAGACTTTCTCGAGACAGATTACATACAGTTCGCGATGGATCTGATTCCAGCGTTAATTGCTCATCGCAATACATCACCAGAGGAGTTGGTGGAGCCATGGGCGAGCTCCCAGGCTGATCGGTATCTAGTTGGAGCAACTCAAGACGAATGATGGTGAGAAGGCATTTTGTTAGAATAGGCTGCAACTTGGGGCAATTTCTTACCAGACCAGCACGAGAATAAAGATGCAGCAGCTTACATCCTATCCTTGGCAGGAGTTTGCTTCGGCTGGATAGCACTATGACGTGCAGCAGCGGCTTGGCAAACGCGTGAAGACGCGTCATCCCGCGATTACCCATCACGGGCTTCCATTCACCCACTTCAACGCATATGGTTCCGCGCATGAAGAGTCATATTTGCAGCACTTGATGCTTCCGCAAATGCTGCGATGTGAAATCTCTAATCCGCTATGACCTTAGTGCTCACCTGGCGCAATCACAACAACCAGCATCGCTATTCCCACTCGAGGACCCTGCCGAACTCACGATACATGCGCCGGCCACTCCTTCTATCTTTCGGATGGCAGGATGCCGCAGGATCGTTCGGACATGTCGGCGTCCTACCAATCTACTGCCTCAAGCCTAGCAATACTGGCTCGCGAAGTTAGACAAGGGATGTGCAGTATTTCTAGCCTACGGCGGAGTTGCTGAAGTGGTGTTGTAATATGAGACGGATACTGACTCGCAGCGACCATGGTACGCTTGCGCAACATTATGTCCACACTTCTGTCACCTGGAAACCGTGTTGTGAACACCCCAGGCAAGAACTTACCGTACTCGTTCCCAGGTAGGATGGCTTCCCCTGCAAAACGCCCAAAAAGAGCTAAGGTTCATAGTGGTCCTGAGTGAGTATATAAGACTCTGGCAATGACGTTAGCTTACAGGAACTTAGCTTCACGGGCACAACGATCGCAGTCCGAGTCGAGGACGAGATTTTTCAGGTTCACCAGAAGCTGGCGTGTGCGAGCTCAGATTTCTTCAAAAACGATGCCGGTATCGTCGCCATCGACGTCGAACAGAAACCGATCCGCATCGACGGTCATACCGCGGCCACCTTCGAAACATACCTCACTTGGCTGTACACGAAGCAGATGAAACATGTAACGGACATAAAGCATGTGTGGCAAACCTTAGTGAGGGCCTTCCTCATAGGGATCACGTTGCTCGATACCACGTTTCGTAATGCAGTCATAGCAAGCATGACGCAGCGCGCGTGTGCCGGGAGATATCCAAGTCTCAGCATGGTGAAGGAGGTCTACGTTGGCACATCTAAGGGGGCTTCGATAAGGAATCTCCTGGTTGACATATGTGTTATAGCACGGCCAACTCTGTTGGACAATTTACGCGACCCGGCAGCCGAAATGCACGGAGACTTCGTGAACGACCTACTATGGGCATTCTTCACGTCGCCACTATCCCGTTCGGCAGACGAGAAGCCGTGGCTCACTGATCCACACCGCTATCTTGAAGCTGTCAGTCAGACCGTGGTGGCTATATCGTCCAATCTTTAGAGGGGGACGACCGTCTTTGGCACTTCCTCCATTTCGTGACCTATGCGTTGGTTATAGTAGGCGCACGCGTTATCTTATCGCGTAATCGAATTTTACCGTTTGGAAGCTGCTATGTGACGGCAGCGTTAATGTTAATATCACAGTACACATTATAGTTCGACTCGGCTAAGGAGTCTCAGGCACCTTTCGAAACACTATCAGCCATCGTATGTAGCTATGTAGAAACATGGCTACTGATATAGGATAAGCTATCATTCATCGATTGCAACGCTCGATCAGGAACGTGTGATCCCAGCACACATGTTGATGCCACGGACAATGTGTTGAGTTATTGCGCCGCTCGATCGGCCTCTTCCAAAGCCTTGCCCGCGCTCATCTTGCCTAATATCTCAACTTCCGGCATGAGCGCTGGGCTCGCATTTTCGACGCCATCGGTGTTTCCATCCCACTTCAAACGGACAAGAGCCATGCCCTCGGGATCGTTAGCATCCTCTTTCTCTGCGACCAGGATGATGTTTCGATGGACGGTAGGTCTGAAAGCACATTGTCGTGGATGTGATCTGCGAATATCGGCCCAAGGATCGCTTGAAGAATGCCAGTTCCCGAGCATCTGGAAGCGAGACTCATCTGTCTTCTTCATCTTTGCCCATGATGGCTCGAGCATGGAGCTGATGGGTACGGCTATGCGGAGTCAGCTAACGTGCAAATCCTCGTGCATGAGCACAATCGTTAGGTACCTTTTTTCACCAAGCTATACCACCCGTACACTTTGTTGGGCGACGCATCCGAAGTGGCAAGCCCCTGCGTTGGCCCCTGCGTTGGTTTGTCATCTTTGTCGTCATCATCCGCATACGGGTCATCCCCACCCCACTCCTCAGCCTCCCGTTCCTTCAGATCGAACCAATCTTGGTTACCGATGTCGATATTGGAACCCCATGAATCCGCCTCGACATTGCTGCAACGTCCAACGCCTGGAACGTTTTCCTCGTCTTGGCTCGAGTTGAGCAGAACGACTAAGACCCCGTTGTTGTCGAAGTCCTTTTGGTCGGCTACTATGAAGTAGAGCGGATGAATGGTATCGTCTTGGTCGCGTAGCTCGATGAAGTAGTCGTAAACGTCTCGCAACGAGCGACCGCTGAAGTCTGGCTGCGGAGCGAACTTAGACCTCCCCGTACTGAGCTCGCCCGTGTTGATGCTTTCTTCAAGCCGTTGGCTGTCTGCTGTGTCTAGAGCAGCTGTGTAGAAGATGGCAAACTTGAAACGATTTAGACCATTCAGTGTGGCGCGGTGGTATTCTGTATTCGGCGCTTTCTTAGGGAGTGTTTTCGCGAGGTCCTTTGTGGAAGACATATTGTGTTGAGTGGTCTGATTGAGGGCAAAGAGTTGGTTTGGATGAGGTGGACGGGTAGATAGAAACCACGTCTCAGCCGTAGTTTCCAGCTGGGTCAGTTCAGGCAACTGCGATTGCGTGACGAGGAGCGCTATAATGGGGCGAGCCTTGTGACCAGAGATGGCCCTGCGTACACTATTGTTGCTCAAATTTTAGCGTCGCAGCCGGGCGTAAGGCGATGATGCGAGGTACGATGAGAAGCCACAAGTGGGGCAGGGTCGCACCAAGCTTATGTGTGGTGCTGCACACTACCTAGGTATGATGTCAGAGATTGGCTGTCATTGGAGATCTCACTGGCGGGCCGAGCCTTCCCGTTCATCTACAGCCTCTTACTTCCCGCACGTCTTGACAGTAATGTACGACAAGTTCGCTTTCTCTCGGCCTGTCCGATGAAAATGTCTCAGTATGCTGACGACTTAGTCCTATAATCGAAGGTTGTACCATTTGTAGACATGGTTAAGTCAACTACTGCTGACCTGTTAAGTTTATCAGCTGTACTAAATACCATGGAATCAAGGGCATTGGCCAGTTTCGACCATGATCTCGATGACAAGGCAGATATATGCCGAGTTACGGCTTATTCGCAGCAAACCTTCGGGTAATCGGCGTCCAAGTTGCTATACCGGTGAGATCAAGCCCGCCATCTCAGGCCGTCGTATACGACAACTACAAGCAGATCAATTTCCGCCCCATCCTTGTGATCTCTACCCGAAGCGGCTCCAACTGCGGTTCTGCATATCATTGGCAAGGTTTTGAAACTAGTTCAAGAATTCGATCATACGATTGCATTGACTATGTTCAGCTGTGAGTACAGAAGAGGCCTCCCAATACTTGGGCAGGGTTGACATGGGCATGTAAATGGGGGCCACGACGAGTATATAGAAGGCAGCCTCGATATCGTGTATTCCACACAACAGCCGTTTT